AGGAATGCCACATTACATTCAATCACCTGACCTTTGGGTCTCCTATTTAGTGGTACTCCCCAGGGCTGCATACATTCCTATACAATATGGCTTTTCTCCCTCATGTATCTTATGTCAACATAATTCATAACCCAGCCAAAAACCTAAAAGGCTAGAGAAAAGCCACTTTACCTTGTCCCACCTTATTTCCTACTTTTCTTTCATTTTAATTCTAATTAAATGGGCCTTTTTGCTGCTCTTCATAAAGGCCAACTTCACTCCTACCTCAGGATCTTTGCACTGGCTCTTCTTCCTTCCTAGAATACTCCTTACACAGAGCTTCCAAGCTCACTCCCTCATTTCTTTTTTAGAATTATTTTATTTAACTGTATTTATCTATTTTAATTTGACCAAAGAGAGACAGAGCAAGAGAGAAGGAGAGTAAGAGAGAGAGAGAGAGAGAGAGAGAGCGAGCAAGCTGCCAGGTCCAGGACTCGAACCACAGCTGGCCATGTGGGAATCAGGTACCCTCAATCACCACACCACCTGCTGGCCCACTCCCTCATTTCTTCAGGTGTCTACTCAAGAGATGCTTTTCTACTCTGTGGCAAAGTTCTCAGAAATAGTAGCTAAAAAAAAAAAGGATCTCTCGCCTCAAATTCCTAACCTTTATGTTAGATCCTAACACTACCACAGGCTTTCCTTTTTTCTCTGCTTGAAACAAGAAACTGGCTAAATTTTTGTGATCCTCAACATCATGTATTTTTAGCTTGGATTTTCTTTCATTATTATTTAACCCCTGCTTTTTTACATTCCTTTACAGTTTTATGGTGTCCTCCACTGCACACAAAGTGCTTTCTAAATCAGTTAAATACACTCCCACAGAAAGCTAGCGCCTTATACACAGCAACTCCCTCCAAAATTCCGATGAATAAACCAATGAGTGAATAATGAACAGTAACAGGACATCTGTACATTGACAGACATTCAGGAAAGGGTTTTTCGTTTCAGTACACCGGATTCATTTAGACACAAGCTCCTGGTACATACAAATGGTAAGAAAGAATCTCAAATGAAAACCTGAATTAACTAGTATCACTAAGCTCAGGTTTTACTTTTTTTGTTCTAGTAATAAGTGTTACTTAAAAAAAAAACAAACAAGAGGCTTTATCTGCTCAACTCCGCAAAGGTTCTAGGCGGGTTGCGGCCTCATCAGGCACCCAGCACGCACCCTGTCCGCAGCCAAGATGCCCAAGAGGAAGGTCAGCTCAGCCAAGGGGGCGGCCAAGGAAGAGCCCAAGAGATCAGCGAGGTTGTCGGCTAAACCTCCTGCAGAAATGGAAACGAAGCCAAAAAAGGCAGCCTAAAAAGGCGGCAGGGAAGGATAAATCTTCAGACAAAAGAGTGCAAACAAAAGGGAAAAGGGGAGCAAAGCGGAAACAGGCTGAAGTGGCCAACCAAGACACTAAAGATTTACCTGCAGAAAATGGAGAAACTAAAAATGAGGAGAGTCCACCTTCTGATGAAGCAGGCGAGAAAGAAGTCAAGTCTGGGTAATATCATATACCATGTCTTATCAATGGTCCCTGTTTCCCTTCTTGTACAATCCAGAGGAATATTTTTATCAACTATTTTGTAAATGCAAGTTTTTTAGTAGCTCTAGAAACATTTTTAAGAAGGAGAGAATCTCACCTCATCCCATTTTTTAAGTGTAAATGCTTCTTTTTAAGAGGTGAAATCATTTACTGGTTGTTCATTTTTCAGTACAACCAGAAAATAGTGGGATATTGACTTATAGGAGGCTTTGACTCTCTTGCGCGTCAGCTTAACATTCCATAGGTGGGGGCGGGTGGGTAGTTTTTATATCCTGAATACAAAGCATACTAAATGGCATTTGGAGTCACAGTCATGCATTTAATGTGTCTTGAATATTTTAAATGACTTCTATCATGTTTTTTAGTAGTATTGTTTCCTAAAGAAAACCACTCTTTGATTGTTGCTCTCCCTGTCAGAATTGTGTGCACTCTGTAACAACTTTGGTCGTGGCAGTCCAGTTTTCCTAATAATTCTGTTAATGTGCTGTGAAAGATTGGAAATTTGAAGTATGTAGTCTGTGTGATACTAAATTGTGATTTGGTGAGTCTTACATAACAGCTTTCAACATCTGAAGACAGTGGTTCTTATCCTCTTAAGGAAAATGTGCCTACAAATTTGAAGCTGGAATGTCACCGGGATAACTTAAAAAGAATCACTATACTTGGCTTTTTAAATTTTTGGTATGTATGTTAAGAATTGGGTACAAATTGAAATGTCTGTACTGATCCTTGACACAACCAATAAATCTCAATTACAAAACTGAAAACAAAACAAAACAAAACCCTTTCATGCCAGCCACAGATTCCAATTAAGTCCCGAAGAAATAAACCAAGATTTTCCTAAGAAGGTGCAGGAGTCTAGGAGTGGGATGGGCAATAACATGGGTCTAGGATAACGGGGCCCCCTGTGGACAGAGAAAAGGAGACCAAAGATCTCAAACTAGGGCTGAGACATGGTCAAAACAGTAGCCTCGGTCCCTGGAAGGCAGTGCTGGAAAGAGGCAGGGTCAGCCAGAACAGGTCTTGGCCCCATTCCTCGAAGGAGCATGGAGAGAGAAGGCAGAAACAAGCTCTCACCTCTAACGCCGCCTGGGGGTCCGCGTCGATCAGAGCATCTGAGAAGCTCTGGAAAAACCTGCCAGGAAAACAACGACTTCAGCAGAGATCAGTAACCAAGGAAAGGGAAACAAGACAAAACAGCAAAAATTAGATAGAACACACACCTCTGAGTTGGTGCAGGTCCTGCTGCGGCGGCCGCCATCCCGAAGAGTCACTGTTGCCGCTCCCGGAGCTGTTACTACTGCAGTTATCACGGCCGCCGCCGCCCAAGGGGGAAGCTTCTGGAGAAACACCAACCGAGCTTCCGTCCTAAGTAGCCAACGAGCAGCCACGCACCGTGAGGCGCGGGGGAGGGGAACCGACTAGCAGGCGCAAGGCCGGCTGGGACCGTGGAGGACCGATTCCCGGCGGCCCGGCCTGGGTCACGTGATCGGGGCTCACAGTCCCCGCCCTTCGCAGCCATGGTTACGGAGGCCTCGGTAACCACTTCACTCTGACCTCGAGCCCGCCCTCCAGCGCTCTGACGGACCGTTCAGAGGTAGTAGCTCCAAAGCACTTCTGGAACGTACTGTTATCCTTTAGGAACATATGACGACTGGGGAGCTTGTGTGTTAATAACAGGAGCAACTCAGAGCTCCATTTTCAGGACTTATCATGACTACCGCAGGGAGCTGATCCTTTTATGACCCTTAACTTCATTCGCAGCGGCGTGGTTTTTTTTCCAGGGTTAGAGTCCCGGATGGCTCGTAGATTCCCGCGGTCTTTGCGCCTGGAACGCTGATGGGCTGGGACTCGCTGGAGGTTGTTCTGCCTTTTTGAAGGCTGAGGAAACCTTCCGGATTCTGGGTGGACACGACCCAGCACGCCGCCGCCCAGGCTCTCTTCCTCGTCGGCTTCCAGACCGAGAAGAAAAGCCTGTTTATCAGAAAGCGCTGGTGCGAGGAAGGGGGCCTGGAGTTGTCCCACTACCGTTCTGTTTTCCAACCTACCTGTTAGGTCTAGATAATGTCATTTGTCAAATACATTTATTGCTGTTATCTTTTCCCATTTATCTTTTCATTCTGTTAATACTGTGTTTTGACTAACATTTTAGGTTTTGCCATAGGGCACATATGCTTACCAAAGAAAGAGACAGAAAGAGGAAAAGATAAATCATCCCCCAAGGAGGATGGCTACGCCATATTCTCTTCTCTTCCATTCTCATCTTGGGATTTGGGGCATGCATGCATGTGCACCTGTCATGGTTTTCAAGCCACCAGGTCCAGGACTTAAACCACTACGAGCCATGTGTATGTCCAGCACCTTCACCACACCACCTGCTGGCCCCTTAGTGTTTTATTTTAATGTAGTCGAATTTATCAGTTTTCTTGATCAATGCTTTTCCTCCCATAGTAAGGCTTTGCCTACTCAAAGACTATTAAAATAGTCTGTTTTCTTCCAGATATATTATTTTACTTTTCATATTTAAGTCTATAATCTTTCTCAAATTAATTTTCATGGAAGGTATAAGGTAAGGATCAAAGTTCGTTCCCCATCTTCCATGTGGATATTCAATTGACCTGGCTCTATTTATTGAATGTCATTTCCCTTAGTAAATTCTTTTCTTGAGAGAGAGATTTGTGCTATAGGGCATGTGTGATCACCAGAGACAGAGAGAGGCAGAGATAGAAAGCGAGAAATCACCCCCTGCGGGGGGAGTGGTCATGCTGCAGTCCCTTCTTCTCCAGTTTCCTCTCAGGATTTTGGGTGCACACACACACGTCCAGTATGAGTTTCAAGTCACTGGGCCCAGGACTAAAACCACAGTTGGCCATGTGGAATTCTAGTGATGTAACCATTAGGCAATCTACTGGTCCCACTTTACTAAATTCTTATAGCATCTTTGTTGTAAAGGAAATGACACAGAATCTTGAAAAAGTTGCACACTAATGTGCCACTCAAAATTCCTTGATCTAGGCAAGACCATAGCATGGTAGTTAAGGTGGCTGGATCCCACACAACCCACTGTGTAGTTTGCATCTGTATCCAATGGCTTGAAAAACATACTGGGTTGCAGGAAAAGTCATGGCTTTTTTTTAATGCATTTTTATATGCAAAAATATGTCACGACTTTTCCTACAACCCAATACCAGGCACATGAGCATGCATGCCCAAGATCGCAACAGGATCCCAACAGGATGGAGAAATGGAGGGAGGACTGAGTCTGACCACATCCTATCGAGGGATGCTTTCTCCTTCTCCCTCTCTCTCATTGGTGAGCACTTGTGCCCACTGGCAATGAAAAAAAAATTTACCCTTAGGATGGAAAACCAGATTCATCTCTATTACTTACAACTAAGAACCAAAGCTGACAGATAATTCAACATTTGGAAGTAAAATGCTACAGAACAGACCCTAGTATGTATTGGGTCATCAGGAAAGTCATGGCACATTTTTGGCTTCAGGAAACCACGTCATGACTTTTCTGATGACCTAATATAACTGGCCTGGTGGAGGAGGCAGGAAAGAAGGCATTGTGGCTACAACTATTCCAGGCTGGGAAAATGGAAATCCTGAGACAGGGTATCAAACTCTCACCAAGAATTGTATTCTAGAGCTGGCTCCAGGGCCTGGCCTGGTGGTTAAGGCAGGCAGATTTTACAAACCCCACCCTCAGTTTGGTTCCCAGACCCAGCAGCTTGAGAGACATGCCTGGCACATATGTGTATATGCCTCAAATCCTGACAAGACAGAGAAATGGAGAAAGGATCGCACAGTGACCATTCCCCATGAGGTGCTTCCTCCCCTGTTTATAGCAAGTGTACACACCCTCTGGCAAAATTTTAAGGAAGTATATTCTAAGCTCAGCCTTGGTGGCCTGTGCTGTTAAGATGCTACTCCATAGGCTGAGACCACACAGGAGGCTCAGGTTGAATTCCCAGTCCAGTCTAAAAGGCCCAACATAGTGGCATGCACATATGAATCTAGTGACTCAGGAAGGACAAAGCAGCAAGATTTTGAGCTTGAGGCTAGCCTGGGAGACATAACAAGACCCCGTCTAAAAAAAAGAGCTGCACGTGGTGGTAAATGCTTATAGTTCCAGCAGAAACTGAAACAGGCATGAAATGGTATGACATGGTAGGACCCTGCCTTAAAAAAACAAAAAATAGCATTCCAAAGGTGTGACTACTGGAGGCGAAAAGGCAAAGAGCCACAGATGACCTGAAAAAAATCACTCATCACCCCAGAGAACCTAGACATGAAGTTGGACAGTGTAACTAGATGAGACTTTGCTTGATTCTCTTTGAGAGAGAAATGTTTCATGAGGGTGTGCGCATTTCTGAGAGTATACTTAAATCAAATATTTATGAGTGATAGTAGGCTGAATTATTCTTCCTTGATATGGAGGCCCAATTTTGTTTACCTAACACATGATTTAAGTAATGTATGATACTCTCATGTCATTGGGTAGCAAGTGGTTTAAGGAGGAATATGTGACCAGTCTAGTCAATAAACTATGAAAATTTGGCTGGTCAGGGTCTTCTGGAACAATAAAGTCCCCTTACTGTTAAAAAAAAACACAGAATGAACTACTGCAGCTGAATCTCTATCCTCAGAGACAAACCACTATCTTGAGGAATATTAAAGCAGAAACCTGGAGAACCTAGTTCCTCAGTGTTGCCTCTGAGCTCCTGAATTAGCCTAGAAGCCTCCCAACTCCAGGCTTGTTGTTTTATATTCTTTGTAATTTTGAGTTGGATTTTGTTAGTTTGTAGCTGAATATATCCTGATCCTAACTGATATGATTTGGAGTACAGAATTCAAAGATAAGCTGGTAATCATCAAGATGATGAGGGGGCCAGCAAGTGGTGTAATGATTAAGACACCGAACTCTCACATGACCGACCGCAGTTCAAGTCCCTACCCCAATGACTTGAAACACACCACACACACGTGTGTGTGTGCACGCGTGTGCATGCACAAGCATGCATGCCCAAAAATCCTGAAAGGAGAATGGAGAAAGGATTATGGCATGGTCCACCGGTGTTGATTTCTCACTTTTTGTCTCTGCGTCTCTCCAGTGAGCATGCACTCTTTAAAAAAAAAAATCACACAATACCTCAACTCCATCTTAAGAGTGATGGACCACTGAAGGGCTTGACATAATGAGACGGCATTCCCGTTGCACTGGGGAAGACAAACTGGAGGGAGACAAGGTGAAGACAAAGAGAATAAGAATGGTGACTTATAGGGAAAACCTGGGAACTCCAACCTGTAAAAATCCCTGGAGCAACCCAAGAAGAACATTAAGAACTTAATATAGGGCCAGTAGGTGGTGTGGTTGTTAAAGATCTGGATTCCCACATGGTCAACCAATTGAAGCAGTTCAAGTCCCAGACCTGGCAGCTGGAAAATCACAAATAGTTAAATAAATAACTGTGGACTTTTTAAAAGAAATCATTATTTTTTGAAGGATATTTTATTTGTTGTTATAATTATTATTTTAATTTGACCAGAGAGAGACAGAGAGAAAGGGAAAGTGAGAAAGCAAGCCCCCAGGTCCAAGACTCCAACCATGGTTGGCCATGTGGGAGCCCAGCACCTAAACCACTGCGCCACCTGCTGGCCCCTAAAAGAAATTATTATAAAAGCAGGACAGGAAAGAGTTGGGCACTTTGGGCTGAGAAAAAGTGAGAGCACACACCAGATAGCAGTGCAGCAGTAAAATGTGATGCTCTGCATGGGAAGGCTGAAGACCTTCCTGGGATTTTTTCAGCACCGTCCCAAGTAGAGAGGGAAGCTAAAGACAGTTTGATCACCAATCACTAGTGATTTAATCAATCATGCCTGTGTAATGAAACTGCCACAAAAATCCCCCCGTAAGTGATGGCGTTTGGAGAGCTTCCAGGTTGGTAAATGCTCTGAGTTATTCAGGGCATGGAAGTGTGCCATACCTTGTCTTATGCATCTCTTCCATTTGGTGGTTCCTGGGTTGTGTACTTTGTAATACAAACAGGTAAAAATCAAACTGATTAAATGGTCCTGAATTTTGTGAGCCATTCTAGCAAGTTATTATACCTTATATAAAATATACCCCTTAGTAGCTGATACTTCATTCAAACCAAAAAGCATGGCTATCTGGCATGGGAGAGGCATGGGAAAGGCTTCAGGGGGAACCACCAATGTATAGTCAGTAGGTCAGAGGTACAAGTAGAGACCTGTGATTTATGACAAGTTTCTAAAGTAGGGGCAGTCTCCTGGGGTTAAACTTTTAACCTGTAGGGGGTCTATGCTAACTCCAGGTGCTTATTGTCAGAACTGAAATGAATGACATGACACCCAGATAGGATGAGAACTGGTTGTTGATGTGGAAAAAACCAGAAATGGTGAACAAAATCAGTTCATACTGATAAACTGAGTAACTGTTCACAAGTGGAAAGTCACTTGGAAGGCTTTCATGTGTTACAACCTTTGTGAAGGTAGGAACTTTCATCTGTTTGTTCACTGATACTTCTCTATCACCAAGAATAGTGCCTAGCACAGTATACTCAAATATTGGTTAAATGAAAGAATTGTGGCAGGAACAATATAATAATGAAGATAGTGGCAATAGGTATAAAAAATAGATGGCTCAATAAGATATTCTTTTTTTTTTTTTTTGGAGAGGTTTTTGCTATAGGGCACATGTGCTCGCCAGACAGAGAGACAGACAGAAAGCAAGAAATCACCCCCCAGGGGTGATGGCCACGCTGCAATCCCTTCTCCATTCTCCTCTCGGGATCATGGGCACGCATGCACACGTGCCCGGCGTGAGTTTAAGCCACTGGGGTCCAGGACTCGAACCGTGGTCGACTATGTGGGAGTCCAGCGACAGTCATTACACTAACTGCTGATCCCTAGCTCAATAAGACATTCTAATGAGGAAAAGTATGCCCCTTAGTAGCTAATACTTTATATTCAAACCCAAAAGTGTGGCTATCTGGCATAAGAGAGAAGAAAAGTGAGAGGACAACAACCTACAATTCTAACATGGAGTTTGTTAAACCCAACAACCTTCTCTGTACACTTGTTCTTTTAAGAAACAGTTGCCTGGGGCTGGCTCTGTGGCATAGCAGTAATATGTTATCCAAGAGAAGCTGGATCTCACACGGTGACTGCAGTTCAGATGCCTAGCCTGGTCATCCTGAAGCACAGCAGGTAGTCATGTGAGTGTCCAGGACCTGACAGGTTGGAGGACTGGAGGAAGGAAATTGTGTGGTGTGACCAGACGCTATAGAGTATGCCCCTTTTTCTCTCTCTTGCTCTCTCTTGTGTACCTTATCATGAATTTGAAAAAAAAAATTTTAAGTTACCAAAAAAAATTTGTCCTGGGCCAGCAGGTGGTGTGGAGGTTAAGATGCTGGATCTTGCATGTCCCGCTGGGCAATCCTGGACCTGGCAGCTTGAAAATTGTCCTGAGCGTGTGTGTGTGTGTGTGTGTGTGTGCATGCACGCATGTGTGCCCAAAATCCTGAGAAGAGATGGCATGGGCATCTCTCCAAGGGGTGATTTCTCAGTTTCCTCCCTCCCTCTGGCACATGCATATATCCTATATCACACACACACACAAAGTTCATGAAAACAAACATTGAGAATTTTTACATGATTTATTTAATAATAAACTAATTAAAGGTACAAAAATGTTTAGAGGATTCCAAAATTTAAATTTTTCTTTAAATACAAATTCAGTCTGTAATACGAAAACATATAACATTAGATACCTCCAAACAATCATTTTTCATCTACAAAATTTTTTCTTTGCTATACTAGAAAATTTGAAGAAAACAATTTTTCTTGGACATTAAATGTACATTATTTACAGTTGAAAAGGTAATCTAAAAACTACTCCATTTCAGAAACTTGGATATATATGTATATTATCTTTGTATGCAATTTCCCCCCTTAACCCCCAATAAAAAATTACCCAAAACATAAAGCAATTATGCTTTTATAACAACTGACAACTCAGCCAGATTAGCCCAAGGCTCAAGTTGCTTTCTTGGACCTTAAGAAAGAGCCTTGACTCTCTCAGGACAGCAGGCTATCATTTAGCACTCAGCAACATAAGTTTACTAATGGACCACATGAATAGTGGTCTAAAGAGTTAATGAACAAAATAGGAAGAATTTATGGCAGATCTTAACGATAATGATAACTGTAAAATGAATTTTGTGGGGTTCTTATTTTTCTGCAAAATTTAGCTATATTTACTTAGGAAATAACCTGGTAACATTTTAATGAACATAAATTTAAAATATAAGCATTAGAATAATAAAATTTAGAACTAGAAGGGACAGCGATCTAGTCTAGTCCAATGCATCCTCTTCTTCTTAGGAGAAGAAATAACACCACAGAAGATCAAGGTTGACACAACTCAGTAGCAGGACAGCCACTTTTAGACTGATGCTTTATACCATCCTGTTTCTGAAAACAGGTTCAGCCACATCATGGGCATAGTTCAACTTTTAATGTTAATTTTATATAAACATAGTTCATTATACAGTGCAGACAACTAAAGTCAATCTAAGTGACACCATAATTTTAACAAAGCATAAAACAGGTTTCTTACATTTTAAAGAGTCAAGACAACTTATACAAGTGGAATGAAAACAGTTCCTATATAAATTTCCTGTTGCCTTTCTAAGTACTGTATTTACAAAAGAACCAGAAAAGCTAATATGATATAAAATGTCTAGAAAAGAAACTTTAAAAATGCTCATGATATAGCAAATGAAAAAAAATCTCAAAAGAATGTCTTCATAGTATAAAACACATGTTCCTTCACAATTGAATTCTGAAACATTTGCAGAACATAGAGAAACACTTGGGTTTCCCTCCCTCATCTAATGTCAAAACTAATGAAATTATTTTTAACAATTACAAATAGGAGGAACCTCTGCAGAATTTATCTTAGAATCAATGAGATAGCTTGCATATAACTGGAAACGTTCAATGAAAAATCAATCATCCATAATTCCTTTGGTATATTAAAAAGAGTTGGGTTCCAGCAGTTCATTTTGTTTCGTAGCTACCTGAGAGGAAAATCCATTGGAATTAGATACCACCATGACATAAGGTTGTGGCTGTTGCTCAGTTTTCTCAGTGTCTTCTTTCAAATGATCTTCAACTTCCTTCTTCTCTACTTCCTGTGTAAGAGTTTTTGTTTCTTGCGCTTTGATAACTGACGTGATTACAGTGCCAGGTGGGTGAGCAACTAGTTGTGAACTGCGAGGAGAAAAGGTCACCACAGGCGTAGTAGCACTAAAGGATGGAGATGAGGCCATACTGACGGTTCCATTGCAAATGGACTGAACGTTGCTGGTAAGAACCTGCTGTACATGGGCAGGGCTGAACACAATAGAAGGGGGGGAGCCTGGCTTCTGTGACTGCAGCACAACATTTTCTTTCAGTACTGTCATGGGCTGTGATGATGGAATGGCTTGTAAGATAAACTTCTGCGATCCAGCACCTGCTGATGGATCTGTGCTGGCTATCACTGTTGTGAGTGGCACTGTCTGGAGTGTTACTGTATGCAACTGCTGATTTCCTGGAGACACGACCACTGGAACTTGAGCTGGAGCCTGTATAGTCCTGTTGGGATTACAAAATAAAAGTGAGACAATCAGCACATTCTATGTCATTTAAAACTTTAACATTTGACAAGTCACTTTGACAAAATGACTTAATAAATTTCAAATGATACGTTTTATATTTTCAACATAACATTAGCATTAAGCACTGTACTTATATAGAGAGAGGCCCAACCCTAAACTCTCAGACCATTAACTATGATACCATCTGTTGAATGCTGCAAAAAAAAAAAAAAAAAAGAAGAGGTCTATATGTAATGCCACCTTAACATAAATGGGGAACCAATTTTGTTGGGAAAGGAGAACGATACCAAAATGCTTATTAGCAAGCAAATTTACGTATGAAGTGGCTGAAAGAAAATTTAAAAGCAAATCTGTTTCATTCCCTCTTGCTATTTTAACATTTGAGGGACAATATCATCGATATTTTCATTCACAATTTGAGGGATAATATCATCAATATGTTCATTCACAATTACCAAACTTATATGGTTATAATTGGTTTGACCTGTTTGTTTAAAGATAAAAGGAAAAAGTGCCTAATTAAAAAAAAAAAAAAAACCTGTCCTAAATGTATATGTGACAGAATTCCTGTTAAGAATTTTGCCATGGCTATAATAAAATGATGGTTCTTTGGCTAACAGAGGATGAAAAAGCCCATCCCTAAAAAAAGTAAGAGTTTTTCATGCTCAAAGAATTTTCACAAAATTAACTTAGTCATAAAACTACAATTTAACATAAAATCCTTTAATGTAAAATCCAGTTAATGTAAGGCTATTAATCTCACTTACTGGAGAAAAGGATACATGAATGATATCATGAGTCAATTTAATTTTAAAAGTTTACAGTTGAGGAACCAGCAGTTAGCGTAATGGCTATGTCGCTGGACTCCCACATAGTCGACCACGGTTTGCGTCCCGGACCCGGTGGCTTAAAACACGCCGGGTGCGTGTGCGTGCGTGCCCAAGATCCCGAGAGGAGAATGGAGGAGAAGGGATTGCGGCGTGACCATCCCCCCTGGAGAGTGATTTCTCACTTCCTGTTTCTATGTCTCTCTCTCTCTGGCGAGCACACGTACCCTATAGTGAAAATCTCTCCCCCCCCAAAAAAAAAGAAAAAAAAAAAAAAACGTTTACACGTGTGAAATTTTTTACTCTCTCTGTCTGTCTGGCGAGGGCACGCGCCCCTAGAGTAAAAATGTCCCCCCCCCCAAAAAAAAAAAAAAAAAAAAAAAAACGTTTACAGCTGTGACATTTGTTACAGCCACTGTTAATATAAACAAAAATATAGGTGGAAAAAAAAACCACAGCAACTGAATCTCAACTGTCTCCTCTGAATTTTATAACATTATTTTATGAAAAGTACTCAGTTTTGCATAAAAAAAGAAAAACAGAATAAACACATCATGATTTTACCAACAACCCAATAATTGATTGCTACCTCAAAATAACTAACAGCTAGGTAGGCCCCATAAACCAAATGTTAATTATTACCAACAGATTGTTATAGCTAAGTTTTAAGATGTTACAGTCATGTGGCCTGTTTCTCACATACATGAGAAATAAAATTATGGAGGTGAAAAAAAATGGGCTGGGGGAAAAATGAAAGGAAGATCCAATACAGCTCAGGAGAAATTCAAAGGAAGTGGAAAAACAAAGGATAACCAGAGTGCATCAACTGATGCAGGATACTAATTTCCAAGTTCAGGTGGCTACTCAAGTCACCACTGGGAGCACTGGCATAAAGCAGGATATTAAGAGCTCTCTTGAAGGACACCAAGAAGTGGACAATGAGTTGGGTAATGAAGATTTAATAGGTACATAGGCTATGGCTAGGAATAAGGGCAGATATACTAACATTACTGGGCAGGCAGGGATGAAGTAGGAGGAAAGAGAAACACCTGGAGGGTCAAAGTACTTTTTTCAAAATACACTGCACCTCTTTTCTCCTGCCCACCTAAAATACAGGTATCTTAGGTGGAATGTGAGTCTGGATATGGTTCCTAGCCCTAAGAAAGATACTATTTTTGGGAGCAGCAGTTAGCATAATGGCTATGTCTCTGAACACCCATGTGGCCGACCGTGGTTCGAGCCCTGGACCCATTGGCTTAAACTCATGCTGGGCACACGTCCAAGATCCCAAGACGAGAATGAAGGAGAAGGGATTGCGGCATGGCCATCCCCCCTCGGGGGTGATTTCTCACTTTCTACCTCTCTGTCTTTTTGGCGAGCACACACACCCTCAATCAGAACACCCCAAAAAAAAAAAAAAAAAAAAAAAAAAAAAACCTCTATTTTTTTAAATTAAAAAACCCCAAAGATTTCCTATGCCAAAAGTGACAAATAGATAAAAAGTAATATATAGATAAAACAGTGCTTAGCATATAGAGAGCAGACAGACTGTATAAATAAGTATAGTCTTCCCACTCTCGAAATACTGGATCATTGGAAAAGTCATGATGCATTTTTGCCTAGAAAAACGTCATGATTTTTCTAACAACTCAATAGTTACCCCCATTTTATGTATGAAGAAACAGGCACACAAAGAGGTTGATTACCCTGGATAGGGTGAGCAGAAGGTAAGAGGCCATCTGACCGCAAAGCCTCTGTGCCTGATACAACACACTGCTACCTTTTAAGTTCTGAATAACTTTAGCTAAAGGTAAATGTTTACTGTTACACCCTTATACTATAGGCAGTTACCATTCTTTAATAACTCTCCCCCTTCCTCTTTCCTTCTCTAAAGTGTGGCACAAGCAATGATGTACTTGAGCATTTTCCATATTGCTAATCAGGGTTACCAGTAAGTATTCCATGTCTCTGTTCAATTTAGAAAAAGATGCCCTTTTCTTGAGACATCTGTCAGAAAATATATATACACATCTGCAGTATCTACAATGTAAATATTAGCTTATTTGAAGAATTTCTAAAATAAATTTTAAATTAAGAGATTTCAAAATAAAACATTTGAAACCACAGAAATTTTCATTTTCTTTCTTTGAGAGAGATTTTTACTGTACATGTACTTGCCAGAGAGAAAGAGAGAGACAGAAAGTGAGAAATCACCCCCCACCCCAGGGGTATGGCCAATCTGTGATCCCTTCTCTTTATTCTCCTCTCCGGATTTTGGACATGCACATACACGCCTGGCATGAGTTTCAAGCTGCCAGGTCCAGAACTCAAGCCATGGTCAACTATGTAGGAGTCCAGTCCTTAACCACTATGCCACCCGGTGGTCCCAAATTTTAATTTTTTAAATAATTCAACTGTCAGTTGTGGCTGGTTATAGTTAAATAGTTTTTAATGGTAATCCTTATAATTAATCAAAATTTATGAGGCTAAGAAATATAAGCAACATAACATTTAGCTTTTGTTAAAGATCTGTTCAACTGTCAGGAAGTATTATTTAATCATCACAATACCAAGTAGTATCATCTTTAGTTTTAATAGATGAGGAGACAATAGTTCATTTGATTAAATATCATATCTATTCATTGGCAAGGCTGGAGGGTTGGAAATAAGTTTTGCTTGCATTTCTCCTACTCTATTATATCACTTGTTTTGAGGGGAGGAGAATTTTTGCTACAGGGTGCATGCACTCACTGGAGACAGACAGACAGAAAGCAAGAAATCACCCCCCAGAGGGGATGGTCATGCCACAATCCCTTCTCCATTCTCCTCTCTGGATTTTTGGTATACACACACACACACACACACACACACACACACACACACGCTGCCACGTCTCGGGCTTTAACTGCAGTAG